GTCTACCGTGCACGGGTCAGTACCAGGATTTAGTCCCTGACATGGGACATGAAATGCCTGACAAATCAAGGTACCACGTTATATAGAAAGTTATGCCTTAAAGCTTCGTGATTATGTAGTTTACCATCCAATGGTCTAATGTACACGCACCTTATAAGGGAGTGGCTTGAAGTGCAGGTTGATATATTAACATCTAGTTAATCTGAAATTTAGTTGAGCCTGCAAGTCCATCAGCTTGAATGATCGAGGGCAGAATACAGGCACCACTTTAATCGGACCTCTTTGCTAAGGACAATGATCCTGCTGTTCTGAGTGAAACTATACCTAGATGTGGAGACCGGCAGAACGCGCATCAGTCCAAATGAGACGAGCCAAACGCCAGGAAACTTCCCTACGTTGTTTCATTCACTTTTTGTTTTGTTTGCTCCTCATTTGGCAGCCAACCACGTCGCTACGCTGTGATGTAACGCAGAAACACGCCGCGTGTGCCACTTATCGTTAGACTTTCTGTTTCTGCACTCTCCTGCCTTTCCTCTCATTGGACTTTACGTGTCCCACTGGACCCGTCATGGTCACCGGAGCCGGGGCTTACAGTCTGAGCAGCTGCCTGGTGGAGCATACGGAGGGTTTATCCTGCGCTTCAGAAGAAGCGACGCGTCTCTTCACTAGATCCTGTCTGTAAAGGCCAAACCGTGACGGCTAAATACGAATCGGTGACCGGCGCTAAAATCCATTCTCTTTCGTTCACTGTACCGTATTTGCATATTTCCTGACCAGAGGCACCGTATTTATTCACGGACTGTAAACGCACCTCACGTGGCGTCTTCATGTGCCGCTGCAGACCGGCCCGCTGTAAAGCGCTTTGCATACTGAGAGGTGTGATCCAGCCACGGGTCATTTGTTGTTGACCGTTCCATCCTGTCTACTCCTCCTTCAGCACCGGGAGCCTTTTTGTTTCGTGAGTTTACTCTATATTTGCATACCCAGCACGGCAGATTTCCATACCCTCGCCATCCCGGTCCTTTTGCTTGCAGTTCGCTACCATATAACCTGCAGACAAGGTGCGATACACAAAGCTGCACTGTAGTTAAGAAGCCGCCCTGAAAGGCCCTTTAATTTAAATAGAAGACATTTTTGATGGGACATGATTAGATTTTATATAATATATATGTATGTATATGTTTGTGGACACATACCGACATTAGGACTGGGCAGTATAGCGGTTTGCAACTGTTGTCACGTGGCTCTTCGGCAGGCAGCCAAACATGTTGTTCACGGCTCGCTGCCGAAGGCTCAGCGGTCGGAGCTTCTTGTATTGAGGTGGAGTTTGTGACACATACATTTTAATTAGTAATTTGCAATACTAATAATTGTACATTTATAAAATGACACCGCCAAACTGCACGCTGGGTACGGCTCGCCCGCTACCACAACAAGAAGAAACTCTTGTTGCTACATTAAAAAACTGAAAATGACATTGATCAGTGAACAGCTGTGTAGTCGTCCGGCGTCAATGAATGAATGTTTACTCTGAAAATAAATGCAGTGAAACCTCCAGAGTCATACAAAATAATGTCATATGAATTGTTCGCAATTCTGTCCGGCCCAAATATACTTTATATATATATATATATATATATATATATATATATAATCCATCCATCCATTGGTTGACACCAAGTTGGATAATGCAGCACAACCCAGTCTTACGGCAATAAAGTCCTATAATTGAACATTGTTTTTGAATGTATTGATTATTACGTTTTTGCCCAGCACAACTTTACTGTAGGTGGAGACCTTTAGGTTTTCGAAAAGCATCATAGGGTGGTTCCAGTACGTGAACGTAGGTTCAGGCAAAAAATGTAACTTTAGGTTTGGGCAGCAGAATCACTAGGCAACAAAACCACTTGGGTTTAGGTAAAAATGTCCTGAGTCCCACGTCAACAGTTTGGGACACAAAACCTGTGTCTTGTTTGGTCCGTCCACCTCAGCACCTCTTTCTCTCTGTCCAACACTACGTCCTCTTGGTCGGCCCAGCTGCAGCGTCCTCATCGTACGTTGGAGACAATCAGTCCCAGAACAGGTCTGCACACTAACAGGTGAAGTTGGCTGAACATCCTGTTGCTCTCATTTAAACGAACAAACAAAACAATCCTGACATGACGGGGGTTTGGTTGGAGCGAATGAGGCCGTCAGCCCGTTGGTGTGGTGAGCGCGGTGTTCTCTCTGCAACAAGCGCTTGTGTTGCTCAGCTTGACTAACCGGACTTGGAATTTGTTGTGAATGTTGTTCACTGCTGTCCTTTTGTCAAGTTTGATGGGAGCGATTAGTGTCAAATGGTGGCTCGGTGAATTGAATTTCCCTCTGGACCGTTGATGACCTCGTGATTTAAAGGTCAACTTTTATAAGCTCCGGTAGACGCTGTGTTAGCAGCACCCTGGTGGCCTCGGACCCGCTCGGGGCCAGACTTCCTGTTCACATAACGCGAGGTCATGTACCATAGCTTTGGAATCTGACAGCACAGGTCCGTCTGTCCAAGCGTTTATTGACTCACATGCAGCGCTGCCTTCCTTTTGGACGAGCATCAGCTCATTAGATCAGAGTGCAGGATAAATGTGATACGTTTTGGGGGTTTTTTAATTGTAAGATGGCAATTTAATTTTGCAATTTTAAATTTCTGTGCTTTTACTCTCACTTTTCAAGGGAAAAACAATTGTAGTTTTCAAAGCTATGGTTTTATTGTCTAATTCTACCGTCCTTTTATTTTTTTGCTATTTTGGTTTTACCCCAATTGTGCGAGTGAAGCAGGAATCTGTTTTCTTCTGCGAGGTGGAAGACGTGGCGTTGATTGGTTTTCCCACAACGAGGCCGGGGAGGCTTGGAGCAAAGACGCACACCGGCCTCCGGTGGGGGTTGAACCGAGCGGCGCGGAGCTCCACCAGTCTCAATGCCCGAGTGAACCGGAAACAAAACATTGCTTTATCCTCAAAAGTATAATGACTATGCAGATATTTGCCCTCTGAGGCACAGCCCAGTGAAATATTAATACGGCGTAACGAGATGATTATTAGATGCAACACGCCTCAGTCACACGTATCGTCTCATCTGGATTCACCAGTGCAGCAGCAGTGGAGCACAAAGAACCAGGCGGACATTTTAAGTAGAACACCACACTAGTTGTAGCGAAAACGACACGCAGGTTGCAAACGGTAAATAATATTCCCGCCATCCGGCGAGGCAGAAGCGCGAGGCGGCGTTTGGCCGTGGCAACTCCTGATGCACAGAGCGAGAAGAGGAGGATCGGTTGGTCCTCCATCACGTGTGGCGAAACCGCTTTAGCACCGCGTCCAAAAATCCAATCTTCCCTGGAACTTTGGCAACATATTAAACGTACGGAGCCGCAGGGCAACGTTGGCCAATTGGTATTAAATCCAAGTCCGGAGGAACGTCATCGCTGGGGATTCAGATGAAGACCGAACCTTTAGGTTTAGGCAACGAAACGATCGGCCGGTGTGCTAAACTAAACCACTGATCTGGGTTTAAGAAAAACACAATGGTCGGGTTTTGAATCATCCGGCGCGCGCCCCCCCACACACACACACACACACACACCAGGTAAACCTTGCACCATTTCTAATTGTTTTCGCTGCAGTGGCACTGTTTGTCTTAACACTACAGAACGCAAATATGCAGCGAGGGTGGTGTTACCCAATACGGCAGCACAACATCTAAGCCTTCTTTCTCGCCATCAAACACAGATGGTATCACAACGCGCTGTGCTCTCGGCGCGGGGGCCGCAACGGCATTGTTGTCCGTGAGAAACGGACTCAGCGGCGTCGCTCCACAGTCCGCCAAAAGACGAGTGAATCGCAACCGGACCCTTTCCACTCGGAGCTCTTTCTCTCACTGAGCTCCACTTGAGCAGCGGGATGCTCTTGAACCGCTTGCAGGCTTTCCTCGGCCCTGAAGAGAGATAAGAATAGCGCTCGCTCGGCTCATGGCGTGTTTGCGGGCCAGCAGTGCGGCTCTCAAAGCTTAGAGAGAAAAGAAGCGGGTGCCCCGTGGGCGCAGCGGAGCGGAGCAGTCCACGCCTCGGATATATTCGGCTTCGTCCTGCAGCGCTGTGCAATTAGGCCGCTTCCTGTTTTGAACGCGGGACGCGGCAGCACTGTTGAGCTCTCAGAGGAGCGCGCCAGCCGGGACGACTGGACGCCGTGTGTCATTTTTGTGGTGCTCAAAAAAAGGTGCTTTGCATGCGGGAAAAACGACTGTCGGGCTCTGTGGACAGAATGTCACCTTCCATGTAAGGGACTAAATCCAAGTGCAAGATGTGGGCACTTCTTCTTATTAAGTGCATCAGCCTGAGAAGTGCATGGGAAATCAAGCAGAAAGGGAGGTGTTTAAAGAGTTCGTCTTCTTTTGAGGTATGAATTCTGCTCCAGTTGTTAAGTCAAGTGGGCCAGAGAAGCCCGTCTCCCTCTGGACGAGTGAAGGCTCCTCCCCGCTTAGAACAAAGCGCTGGAAAGTATGCGTCAACCCCTTCCTCCCTCACTCGCCTCCCTCCCCGTGTTTCTACTTCCTGTTCCCTCGGCTGGGCGGATGTGAGACGCTTTGAATAGAAGCAGTGTGCTGCGGGAGGCCATATTCCGTTAATATTCCACCACTAAGTGTTTTTTTCAGCACCGTAAAAGTTCTGTGTGCTGTTAAGAGATGCAAGCGGGCTGACTGCAGTACATCTCTTCCTCTTCCAACAAGTGCGTTTACATGTGTACCTTTATGGCTTAAACTGGAGGACAGGAACTTTTCTTATGCTAGTGGTGGTTCTCAACAATCAGGCTACAATTATACAGTTCAGCTTTAACTTGCATCAATGATGTCAATATACAACAGGTTGAATCTCTGTTCTGAAGCATTGGCCACAGGACGCAGTTCATCTTGTTTTTATCCTCAATCTCTTGTTGATTGCTTTTAATCGCTTTCCTATCGTTCTTTTGTTACAGCTCTGATGGTACTAGCTGAACAGTGACCGCTACCTGCCCGAGGACACCTGCTGCCCACCCGCCCTCATCATGTCTGGGGTGCACGTAAGTGAATCTGTTCTTCCCCCACAGCCACCTGCTCTGCACTACATACGCGTACACACATCCACGCAAGGGGAAGTTAGACATTAAAGGTTAAACCATGGACAATGCTGCAGCAGGTGATCATTGTCATTACCGATTCACCTGCAAATCCTCTTTTAGGGTAAATAAAGAGGCGGTTAGAAAACATTCAACGTGACTTCTCTAGAAGTCAATCAATCAATTGTCAGAATTTTGTTCAATAGATTTCTCTCCTTTGATTAGTTAGGGGGTTTTCAGCACTGTGGCTGGAATTCTGCTCTTTTCCATTATTACTTTTCCAGAAAGCAGTGATCCCTACGGATAGCAAGATGGTTTGGGGCGTGGATCCACTTGTTATGTATAGTTATGTAAACGTTTTTGGTGAAACTGCCCATCTGTCACGCATGTCAGCTTCACCGAGGCAACTTGACTCATAAAGCGAGCACGCACATACACCGACGTGAGCACGAGGTGCTGACAGGAACCGCATCCGTAGTGATGCATGGCTGCACAGAGCTGGTGAGCACACATCCGTCAGCATGCTCAGCTTTTAGTGCTCTCACATTACCGCACTGTGGTTTAACTAATGTTTCACAAGTGCCGGCTTCCAATCGCTTTCCTTCCTGCCAACGGCCGTTCTCATTGTTCCCGGAAATTTTTCTTAATAGCTTTTGCAACCAATAATAATTGATGTTGTAACACCGCAATCTGTAATCATATCAGATTATCTGTCCTATTTGAGCCCCCATAGCCGGGCAGGGCACCATTAATAACCCCACGGATCCAGTGGCACTCTGGCTGATGGTAAGAAGGCCCGACATCCTACGCACACAGACGGTTTTATATTAGAAGTATCCAGTAAAAAAACCAGAGGGACTCAAAGGTCACTCGGGTTGAGCTAGAGTTGAATGTCGAGTATTGATCAAATACTTTATCTGGTTGACCTTCAAATACGTCCAACTGTGCAGTGGGAAGACGCTAAAGTCAATATACATGAATATAATATTATATGTATCTATGCGTGTGCGCACACACACACACACACACACACATATATATTTCCTTTTTTTATATTGTCGGTGATAAAACTGTAATAAAGTTGCCCTTGATGCAAAAAGCAGCCTGTGGTTTTTAACTGTAGTGTCTTTGTGTATCGCAATAAGCTCCATTCATTTCGATGACCAAAGCTCCTGAAGGGAAAAAGACCCAAGTGACACACTGTGTTTCGGGAAGCCAGTTCTCACAAAGTCCGTTTGTTGGAGGTTAATAACAGCTGAGATTTGGAGGGCGATTCTTCATCCTCTCTGTAGCCGCCATCAGCAGCGGTCCAAGCGCTGACAGAGCGCACCTCGCCGGCTCGCATCCACCTGCTGCTTTGTACTTTGTGCTCCTTTCGTTCGCTCCTGTGCAGCGCGGTTATACTTTTGATAACGGCGCAGGCTGAATGTGCACGCCGTCCTCCTCCCAGCTGTCATTTCCATTCGTGTTTGGAGGCGCGCTGCTGCCATGCTTGCATTATTCAGAGTGACTGACCGGCCTTTCACGGCATGTTCAGAGAAAGGAAATTGGGAGGAAGGGGGCTGTGATGTGGGGACTTAGTTTAAGATGAGGACGGGAGATGTCCCTCACGCACGCCGATTATTCTGCGCTTCAGAAGTAAGACACCGTTTAAAAATGATTATTTATTTTTTAGACCTCTGTTCCCACGTGGGGCGCTGCGCATGAAATGACCCTAATAGTGGAATATGTGCATGGTGGTAAACGTGGTCTTTGACTTGGACAGGTCGACGATGAGGATGGGGTCCAACATCACAGCACAACGTGAGCTTCCTGTGGGCGGATGGTTTGATGCAACAATGAAGTTCAGTGCATTTAGCAATAACAAGAGGCAGAGTTCAACAAATAAAGAGCAGACGGGCAAAACAGAGATACCTGTAAGATGTGTAAATAATCAAATGGAAGTGTTTTTCCTTCACGAAATGTGTTCACTTGAACCACATTTTCCTCTAATGTACCTGAAGGCGGTTCCAATGATGGTGTTGTGCATAGACATTATATAAGAAGTGGAAAAAGTTGTCTGGCCTAGAGTGTGTTCAATCAGAAGGTAGCCACGTTCACCACGTGTTCTGATTTATGGTCCGTTTGAGTCCAAACGCTCATTCACTACAAGAAATATTCTGCACTGGTTTCATCTAACGTTTGGTTTCCCATGACGATGTAAAACAATAGGCCGAAAATCACATACAGTAAAGGCGTCACAACCTGGTTTCACAGCAGCAGAAAACTTTTCATTTCCCTTCTTTTGTCTCAACTCCATTTTCTCCGTAGTTCTGCTTTCTGCAGAGCAGCGCCGTCTCCTCGACCTTTTGCCGAGCTTCACACGAGCCCCTCGGGGGGGTATTCATCGCTCTAATCCGTGAAGTGGGTGGCGTTAGCGTGCATACGCACAGATATGGATTATCGCTGAGGATCTGTGCGAGCACTCAACGTCTCTTTGAGATATTGTTGTAGGTTTTGAAAATGCAAGCGGAAGTTTGTGCCGGCACATATGACCACAACAATCTTCAAAATGTATTTTTGCTTCTTGCAATGATTTGGAAATTCTGGTGCTTTTGTGTTAAAAATGTCCTAAGGTTCCTTGTTGTGTGTTGTGTGGCAGGTACCATGGTCGACTGGCACAGAGTGTGTAGCCAAGTACAACTTCCAGACGGCCACCGAACAGGACCTGCCCTTCTGTAAAGGAGATTTACTGACCATCATCGGAGTCACCAGGGTAAGTGTATATATGATCTACGCATCACCTACGGTTTATTACCACTATATAGAACTCTATGGCACGTAACGTCTCATTGGGGCGACTATCTTTATAAACACGACTCCTGTCGTAACTTAAGAATGGAGCATTTTGAACCGATACGAGCTCTGTGACGCCGGTGCTTAACCTCTGAGGTCAGAGGGGCCCTTTAATGCTCGTCACCTCCGTTACGATCGCCAGCACTGATGCTGCGTTGTCACTCGTGTGTCCGACTCAGGATCCCAACTGGTACAGAGCGAGGAACACGGTGGGCAGAGAGGGCACCATCCCGGCCAACTATGTCCAGAAACGGGAGGGTGTCAAGTCAGGAGGGAAGCTCAGTCTTATGCCGTAAGTAGCGTACGACAAAGTGTCTCTTTAATGTCACTCAAAACCTTGTTTGTAATGTGTCGTCTGATTTACACAGGATGATGCGTTTGTTTGCTTGTTGAAACTGTGACAATCTGCAGCTGCAATCCAAATAATAATAAGCTTGCGTGTCCTTTTTATATCTTTGCCACATTGTGTGTGAGCGAGCGAGTTCTCGCATCCCCTCGTTCACTCCGGCTCCCCCGCAGCGCGGTGAGAAGGTAGCGGTGATTTTGTGAGTCAAAGCATCCAAGGATGGAAAAGCCTCGTGCTGCATGTCTGCTCTGGTCTGCCACCTGCTGCGCGCAGCATTTTAATCGCGCTCTTTGAAACGACAGCAATCTTAAAAAAAAGAAAAGAAAAGAGCGGAAACGTAACATGCAAATGACGAGAGACAGGAAGCCGAGAGCATCCGGGCTGCAGCGGGATCCTCACAGCTATGATGTCATTTGAAAGCTGCCAAACGTTTGTTGTAGTCGTTAAACTTCACAAGAGGAGGTTTTAAACGTCAGGGTTTCAGTAAAGAGGAAGTGTGGAACTATGAGAAGAGAAGCGCCACTCTCGCTGAGAAGAGGCGTGCTCTACCATCAGCCTTTCCAATAAAATGAGATAAACATTGCAAAAGCACTTTATTTTGAGCGTTGAGAGGTTTGACATCTTGTACACAATTCAACGTTCAGTTTAAATCATGTTTAAATCCACTCCCTTATTTGCGGAATGCACATATACATCAATGTATAGGATACATAAAATCGATACATAAAGGAAGAAAAGACCTTTTTAAATAAATCTCGGCAGTGAAAATAAGATGGGAAAGAGTACATATCATTAAATAAATATTAGAAACCTATTAGAGTATTAAAATGAATATAGCAGCAGTAAGTCAGACATGCTGACTGGCTAAATCCATCTGAATCTTGCATTAGCGGTCAGCTTCTAAGTGTTCTGGTTCTGTGCTCAGAGAATCAAATCTCCTCCTGCTGCCACTCTAACATCCTGTTGGCAGGAAACATTTAAATAGCCTTCTGACCCTCTTTGTCTGACTTTGTCACCTGCCCCTGGGACCTTTAACCTCTCCCTCTTGCCTCCACTACGCCGCCTGTCTGCACCCATTTTCAACGTGGTCATGGGGGTCACTCAGTGCCGACTCCCTAACAGATGTCTCGGACCTCTTCGCGGTTACATAAGGGTTCATCTGCGGTTCCTCTTGTCCCCATTTGCGCCCTGATTGATTCCCACCAATGGATGCAGTCCTCGCCTCGCTGCCTTTGGCCTCCCAGCAGCTGGTTCTCTCTGCTGCCCCCGTGAGGCAGACGTTATGACGTGCGCCTCCCACCAAAGAGACCCTCGGCTTACAGCCCTGCTGCTCTCCTGCCCTGTTGTTCACCGCATGGTTTGAGCCCTAATTTTAGTACGACTTAATGTGCGACAACCGCAGTTAACTGAGAGCAGCCAGGGTGTGTCCACCAAACGGGCTGTGTGTGTGTGTGTGTCTGTGTCTGTGTCTCCAAGCTGGGCCGGTCCACGCTTGGCGCGACCCGCTCCCGGATTAGCGGGAGTCAAAGGAGGCCGCTGTCCATCGGAGGAGCCGCCGGCACTGATCTAATCAACTCAACCCGCACTAAGCCGACGCTTAGTGAGGAGGAGGAGGAGGAGCAGCAGGAGGAGGAGGAGGAGGGAGTGATGCAGGACGCCTCGGGAAAACCAGGCTGGATCAATTAGAGACGTTGATTACCACTTCTTCAATATCCAAGACGGACAGAGAGGCTCTGTAGGCCAACGCAAGCTTTTCACACGAGAAATGACATGAGTCGCTTGTGTGCGTTTGTGTACTCACTACTCATTACACTCACAGGCCTTTTGCCATTATGAGGGAAAATAAGAACGTCCTTGTATGAGCAGCAAAAGACATGTCCCGTGTCCCATACGCGTTACACATGACACACACATGTCTCATCAGCGGTGATCAGATGCAGCAGATTAATTACCCCAGCACGGTTCAGACACCGGATAATACTCAATATTATTATTATTATTAAAGTGACTCATTACGGAAATTAAACGCTGCCACGTTGAGGAAGCAGAATCAGACTGAGGATCATGTAAACGGGGGCTTGTAGGTTCTACAAATGTTCCCAACGTGATCGAAACCAGGCTCCGATGTGCGCGTGAGCGCGCTCGCTGGTAGCATGTGGACGTGTGCTGAGGGTGAAGCGTGGTTCCACAGCCGGCTTTGCTGCTTATCGGAGAACAAATCAAAGTCCTCTTGTCGTTCCGTCTCGGGGGGGCGCCTGACGTCAGCCAGGAGCTTGTGACTTGGCTCCGTCTCCTGCCCAACTGCCTCGTCTGAGCACTTACTTTTCTTTCCCCTGTTATCGCAGAGCGCACGCGCACCACTTTCCGGCTCTGTGTGTGTGTGTGTGTGTGTGAGCACTGCGCTTCCTGTTGTTTTGGCCCAGGTGCTTTCTCACTGACTGCCCTGGAGCTGAGGGCAACCGCCCGTCCCCCCCCCCCCTTCACCTGTGCTCCCGGTCCCCCCGCCGCAGTGCGTGGAGGCGGATAGTAGCGCCGACTCCACAGCTGATGAGGATTGAGATCGTGGGCAGCGCCGGCATGAGATCCGCCTCTTTTAATCGTCTGCGATTGTTACGTAAACTTGTGGTTTTGTAGAAAATTGCATATTTTGAATCTCCCCTTTCTTCATTCCCCGGTTGCCATTTGGAAGCTAACTCCCCGTTTCCTCCTCCGCCTTCCCGCCCTCACAGCTGGTTCCACGGGAAGATCACCCGGGAGCAGGCCGAGCGGCTCCTCTACCCCCCGGAGACGGGCTTGTACCTGGTGAGGGAGAGCACCAACTACCCCGGCGACTACACGCTGTGCGTCAGCTGCGACGGCAAAGTGGAGCACTACCGCATCATCTACCACAACGGCAAGCTCACCATCGACGAGGAGGAGTACTTCGAGAACCTCATGCAGCTGGTTGAGGTGAGGCGATGCTCCCCTCGCGCGGTGCAAAAAGATCAAGTTTGACGCCTCGCTGACATTCTGTCCGTAAATACGTCATCATGTTACAATTGAGATTTAGAATCCAGCTTGAAAAGACAAGACTGTTAAACGAAGGTAAAAGGTACTTTTACTATAAACACACACACACACGAGTGTCCCTGTGGATGGTTTACATTCTTCATAAAGCCATCTCACTTTTAAGTGGACCTCATCTCGTTGCCTCGCTGGCTGCTTGGAAGACTGAAGGAATGTGCCAGCTGGCACCGAGACATCTACGTCCCCGCTGCATTCTCCATCCGATCTTATATCTCTCCCTCTCTCGTTCACACCCTCCGTGCGTGCTTCTGCCTTCCACTTCCTTCCTCTACCTCCCTGGTGTATGCCTGGCATACTGCTATCTCCTCCTCTTTGTTATCCCCCTCAACCTCTCACTTTGCATGTCCTCTCTCTCTCTGCAGCTGTATCTTCTCCCCTGTGCCTCCCCTTTTCCCTCCATAGGAGGCAGTGAGAGGATGCTTTGCATTCTCCTGTGTTTGTCTGGCTCTCTCTCGTTGGCCTGTTACAGCAGACACACACGTACATGCTGACACACCCCGGGCCTCCTCCTCCCTGTCAATCACAGCACTCCCAGCGTCATTATGGGTCACAGGAATGCAGCATGTCTGCATAGGGTGAAACAAAGGTGGCTCTGTGTGGTATTTTAAGGGTGTGATGGCAGGGTGAGTAAGTATGGTTACTTAAACCTTATGGTTTAATTATATATTGTAGGATTGTGTGCTAAAAACACTTTATTTTCTTGCCTTGCATATCTGGATTTTAAGGAATTATGCTAATTATTAGAACATCCCGTTGTCAAAAGGTGTTAAATCTACATTTTGTGTGATTTGGCATATACTTGTGTTGTTGTTGTTGACATATGTGGCTACACGTGAGTCTCACTGCTGGGCAGCGTAGTAGAGCGGAGCCCCTCCTTCACCATGCTGCCCCCTGGTGGTCGCCACGGCAACTTACACTCTGTTATGTAACGTCAACACAGAGCGTTTGTTCTCTTGCTGTGGTTGATTAGCTGGAGCGGCTAATCAATCATGACCCATGTTCGTTAGGAAGACGCTGCTCTCGTATCGATGAACGGTTGAATTGGGTTTCAGTGCTCCGCGTTCGTTCCACGTATGATTGGGCATGAGACGAGTGTCATTACGCAACCAGAGACTAATAATTGGAGTCGAGCGCTGAAACAAGCTATAACTACTCATGGCCTCGCGTTCCATCATGCTTGTTGTGTCGGAAGAGTCCTCTAGACAGCCGTCCTCAACGTTGATGCGAGATGATAAATGTTTTCTCCTGCTGTCTCTCTTCGGTGGAGGTGAACACCCTGTTGTCCTGTACGCATTTAGTCCACTTAGTCCCCCACTTCATCAGTCCTTGATCGTTCAATAGAGTGAACTATAACTGCAGAATTATTTGTGAGACAAACAAGGCAGACAATGTAACCTTTTATGGAAATGCCAACCAGGAAAATGTCCTTGAAACAAACAACTTGTCCCTTGTCTGTCCTCAGCACTACACCAAAGACGCAGATGGCCTTTGCACCCGGCTCATCAAACCCAAGCTGATGGAGGGAACGGTGGCAGCACAGGACGAGTTCTCCAGGAGTAAGGACACACTGAGCTCATTAAACGCCGCCCCGCAGAGGACGCCGGGGCATTACTGTGTTTACGTTACGGTAACGAGGGCCCGAGGGCCCTAAAGGCGTCCATCAACGCCGGGGTAATTAATCCTGGAGCCTCCGGGGACCAGTGCCTCGACAGCCCCCAAGGTCGACCCCCGTCTTCCTCTGGCCTTTCTTCGTCCCTCGCCGTGTTCTCGCTAACTGACGAGAAGCCGTAGTCATGAGTGAATTTGTGTTGGAGGAATGTCCTCGGGCTGTGGTCCGTGGCGCGTGCTCACCCTCATCTGTCCTCTCTCGCCAGGCGGCTGGGCCTTGAACAGGAAGGAGCTGAAACTCCTGCACAGCATTGGCAAAGGGGAGTTTGGAGGTGGGAGATTTCTGCGTCATTTACTTTCGTCCAGCTGATCCTCGGTGACGCCGCTGTACTAAAAACGCGTTCTCCCGTCTTGTGTCCTCCGTCAGACGTGCTGGTGGGAGACTACAGAGGGAACAAGGTGGCGGTCAAGTGCATCAAAAATGACGCCACGGCGCAGGCTTTCATCGCCGAGGCCTCCGTCATGACGTGAGATCCCTTGAAGTTCAATAAATACAATAACGCACTTGATCACAGGTTGTATTCCACTCACATGTTTTCTGCTCTCAGGCAACTGAGGCACAACAACCTGGTGCAGCTGCTCGGGGTAATCGTGGAGGAGAGGGGCAGCCTCTACATCGTCACCGAGTACATGGCCAAGGTTTGTCGCACTAGTTGTTGCTGTTGTTGTAAAACCAAACAACACAATTCAAATTTACCCCCCCCTCCCCCCTCCGCTGGGTCACAGGGCAGCCTGGTGGACTACCTGCGCTCCCGAGGACGGACCGTGCTCGGCGGAGACTGCTTACTCAAGTTCTCGCTGTGAGTCGCTCTTCAACGCTCTTTGAGTACATACATGTGCACAACAGACCAACGTTTAATCAGCAGGGGGCCAGAGAGGGGGGGCGTGGGGGGGTCGAGAGCTAAACGGCTGCTCTTTAGCTGTCGGGATCTGAATGGAGCTTCAAGAGAACGTTGTCACGCTCGCGGAACTGGCAAACATGAAAGAAGCCTTTGTTCACCGGAGCCACCGGCGCGCGGGGTCTTTGCCTCCATAAGTGGCTCATTCATCCGCGAGTCAAGTGCCTCAAAGTCTTCGTTTATCTCCATTTATCCATCCGTTTTTTTAATTCAACAGCCATTTAGCCGTCGCTCGGCTCTAAATGACTGCGAGTATTTCGTGATTCATTTCCAGTGTGAGCCATGTGTCCCCTGAATGAGTCCTTGTCAGAGATGTGCGAGGGATTAGACTTTCACGGCGCGCAACAGGAAGTGAGCAGAAACTAGCAAATTTTCCCGATTGAGCCGGTTTTATTTTTGTGTCCTCCACCACGGCAACAATGATCTCTGAGGTGCATTGGTCATCGGAGGCGTCTGGCAAGGCCACAGAAGTGTCCACGGCGGTTAATGGAGAGTGTGCACACCTGTGGGTTTTCCCTCATGTCTCCCGTCCCGCTGTGTCCGCCCAGTGACGTGTGCGAAGCCATGGAGTACCTGGAGGCCAACAACTTCGTGCACCGGGACTTGGCCGCCCGCAACGTGCTGGTGTCCGACGACAACATCGCCAAGGTCAGCGACTTCGGCCTCACCAAGGAGGCGTCGTGCATACAGGACACGGGCAAGCTGCCCGTCAAGTGGACCTCGCCCGAGGCCATAAGAGAGAAGGTGAGCGGCAGCGGGGGGGCGGGGCTAATGCGCTCATTTTTTTTTATTGGGGGACAGAAAACGGTTAACTCCTGACGCCTGCTTTGATTCACTAGTTCGGGTGCTGTTTGTTAGCAGCCGTTGTTCGACTCCCTACATGTTCTCCCCGTCATCATTCACATCTGCATGTGCACATGCTCCTTGGAGCCTGCGCTGAAATGGAATTCCAACTTACTGAGCACATTTAGTATTTTGTGCTTATTGTCACGCTATTTGTTTTTCCTGACTTGAACTCTTGAAATTGCACCAAAGCAAAGTAAGCAAGAGCGTTTGTTTCATAGCTGGACGAAGCGGAAAATACCTGCATGAATTTCTCTGTGTGTAAATTCAGCTTCTCCCCTCATTCTTCTTTCTTTCTTTGTCCTGCAGAGGTTTTCCACCAAGTCAGACGTCTGGAGTTACGGAATCCTACTTTGGGAGATCTACTCCTTCGGGCGCGTGCCTTACCCTCGAATTGTAAGTACCTGAACGCCACGTTGGTGGGACTCACCGGGGTGCACGAGGCCCCAGCGGAGGGCAGGCATCTGCTTCTTTGTGAAGTGACCTCAATGTGCCACCATGTGTCCTTTATTAGGAATTATAATACGCGTAGATGAAATCCAGCGTTATGATTGGTTGAGGGGGAGTCACGGGGGGTTACATTATTCAGCAATAAAGTACAGTTGCTGTTCACATTGACCCGAGCGTTCCGTATCACTGCGCACTCAAAGTATCAGGTTAGCTTTTACGTGACCTTTAGTTGACATTTTAGCTTTTAGCCTTGTGGCGATCGGCAAAAAAATACCCTGAAATCCCATAAATGATCAGTTTCGGGCAATGCGAGCTCTCACAACTGGACAATTAAGGTGGATGTCGTGAGCGATGTGAATGCATGAGATGGTGTTTACGTGCACGTACGGGGACAATTTTTCTCCAGACTACTGAAATGAGATACACAATGTTTGATGGCTACAACTATTTTGTGCTGAAAGGCAGCTATTTACTTACTATTTATAATTCAGCTGGTAGCCGTATTACCCCTGAACTGTTACATTATTGGACGACGACGTAGAGCCTCTCGTACCTTTTTGCTTAAGTAAAATATTTTTGTTGCCTTCACATATTTATTCAAGTAATGAATAACCTTTAGGTCGGGATGTCAGGACGCAGCTGCTACCGGCGCAACGCGCTCATTTCTCGCTCTCTCTCCCCCTGTCTCTCAGCCACTGAAAGACGTGGTGCCCCGGGTGGAGAAGGGATACAAGATGGAGGCCCCGGACGGCTGCCCCCCCGTGGTGTACGACCTGATGAAGCAGTGCTGGACCCTGGACTCTGTTGTGCGGCCCTCCTTCCGCATGCTGAGGGACAAGCTGCAGCATATCAGAGCCAAGGAGCTCTACCTGTGAAGAGGAGGCGAGGGGAGAGGAGGGGGGAGACACACAGTGGTGCTAGGAGGAGGAGGAGGAGGAGGAAAAAGGAAAGGGACCACAGCATCTTCCTCCTGCCTGCCCAGCCCACAGACCTGTGGGACTACCGTACTGTGCCTCCCCACCTTTGACCCTAGGCCGCCCCCTGCCTTCACACCAGGACCTTTTTTTCGGTTTGTGTTGTAAAGCTTTTGCCAGACTGTTTCCCGTCGCCTCGACGGGCCACCGCTCTTTCCTCACTCTTACCCCTCCGAAGCTCTGTCTTCTCCTCTGGTCCAAGCCCCCCCCCACACCTGCAAGATCCCCTTGTAGTTCCTGTTATTTTTGCTTCTCCCTCCTCCTCATCGCATTGAGAAGGGAGGCTGGACTTTTTCCTCCACGTGTGCTCCGCCTCCCCCCCTCTCCCTGTATAACCCCCCTCCCCCCCCCCGGCGTGGCGTCAGGCGTGGGGCCTTCGCTCTGTGCTAAAGTGCCTCCAGACTTCCCCTCCAGCTCGTCTTTCAACTGGACTGTTGTAGTTCCATTTTTTTTTATTTGTATTGCTTTTTTTAAGAGATCTTTTTTAATGCTTTTGTTTTTTTTTCAGGGAGGTTATCAAGCCGTTTTAAATATTAGTGCCATCTCCTGCACCTCCATGACAGCCTCCCAGAGGGGGATGTTTCTTTTTTGTACCATGAAGAGCGTGAACAGGGAGGGAGAGGAATTATGGGGCCACTATCATGTTTGTCCTCTAACCACCTAAATGGTAGTGGGGCGGGGGCAGGACGATAACGGGAGAAGGGCGGCGAGGCAGTTCACAAACATGGTGGATTCATCATACGTGAGCTTGTTTTTATATCGAAATATATTTAAAGGAGTCTAAGAAAAAAAAAATGAACAAGGAAGAAACTGACTAGTGTGGAATAAAAAAAACTAAAATAAACAAAGGAGGACTCAGAAGCCGGGAGCGTCTCTGCTTTAGGGACCTGCAGGGTCGGGTGGTGCATGCTGTGTGTGAGAGGCCTTGGGTTCAACTGTCAGTGCTTTCAATGTTCAGTGTTTTATTATGCTATCATGATAATGAATAAATCATTCCATCTGAAACACAGCGTGGAAACACCTGCATCATTGTATCGCCGTGTATTTGACTTTGTTTAACACTTTTCTAACTACAGCATTGTTGTCAGTTGTAGAGCATATTAAATAGTTTAGATACGGATGAAGGGAAGGTTCACATTTTCCAAGTAATCACCTTGATGGTGTCAAATTGCATCAAACAACCCGACGAGTGATGTTTTTTTATTCATCGCCCGGCCTGTGAAAAGGGTCCCGAGACAGAGCGGCTGTGAACTGATGCTTAATAGAGAAGTGTGTCTCGCAAAAAGGCCCCCACCTCTTCACCAGCTATAAATAAAGTCCTCCAGTGCCACAGACAGGTGGCGAAGTGTCAGCGGAGGCCTGAAGGTGTGAAGGAGCGTCGCTGTGTTGTGTCAGCTGGGTTCAACTGCGCCACCTCCTCCCCCCCCACCGACCCCCACCTACCCCAGTGAAGAGCACCAGCCTGATGCTCATTCAAAGCTCACCTTGTAGTCTCTCAGCGGACCCTCCATCTTCTTCAGCTGCTCCAGACAAAGGGTGGAGGCTGGTGCCACGTGATTCCCATGAGCGTGAATGACAGCGGCGGTAACAAGTGGCCGGTTACGTCAGCGAGGCGGTTTGTGCTCGAGGTTAAGACTGTGCCGCTGTCAGGACGCATCACGGCAGCACGACGCCCCCCTCCCCACCTCAGTTTGTCTCCTGACTGGCTGGAGAATGAGAGAGATTTGTTCGGGAACATTTTTGGGTGTCACTGGGAAGCTAATATCGGTTTAAACCACATTTAGGAAGGAGTTTAACTACACGGCTGCTCGTTATGTCCGGTGGCTTTGCAGGACACTTTCAACATAGAAGGCAAAGGTCTTTGTTCTTGCAGTGATGTTTAAATTGTGGCATAGATTACAAAGTTTGTCAATTAAAAAAAAAGCCACACAACTACATCCCAGTACGAAACACACGGATATAATTTGTGTGTGTAGTTGGTGACGTCACAATGATGACAAAATGAAATATTTGTAATTTCATTCATCTTGGCTCTCGCCTTTATTGTATAATTTATTATCCAGCAATTAACTCACCGGAAGGGGCGGGACTTCCCTCTATACCCTGATGAACTGATAACATGAGAGTCGGGCGATGTCGTTCACAAGCGATGACTTCAAAAGCAAGTTCTATGTGTCCAGTGACACTCGTTGCACCTTGAACTTTGACCCTCTTGTTCGTGTACCTGCTGCTTAGATGTGGATCAGCCGGCTCACATGCTTCCACAAACGACTGGATGCATCAGGACATGTACGTATTTTTAAACATATAATGTTTGGGGATAAACTAAGTATTTTCTAGCTTACGAAACACCGCGGCCGTGTGCGTCTTTGGAACTCACCCAACATCAAGGGCTTCTACTGAAGCGGTCAGAAGCCACAAGCAGCCGTCGCAGTGGGGACTTAATCTAGTCTTTCTTTCCATTTGGTCCGTATATCCCTCGTTGGAACATTCACAGTGCGGCGCTGCCGTGATGCACGTACACATGTAAAGCCCGGCCTGCGCTTGCACTCTGATGGGAGCTCGTGGCGACAGGAGTGAGCGTTAACACGCAGCTCTGGCGTCAGGAAGGCTCAGCCGTCCGGCCCGTCTTAAGCGGTCCTGACAAGCGCTCTGAGTCGGCACAAGCAGGCGGGTTGATGCGGTAATCAGCTTTCGATAAGTTATGGATCTGTGCTACCGAGGCACAGAAATCCCTCCCCACTCTGAATTTTAATCTGATTTAATCTGAGCACAGTTTTCCGGGGGGCTGATGGACGGGTCCGAGGAAGATGCTGAGGGCGGCTTGGGTTTTGGGGAGGAGGGAGTGCGTTGTCACGCTGGCCCTGGACGGATTTACACGCGTGACGTAAGGAGGGGGACGGGGGGGGTTACCACATGACTCCCCGGGATGTTGTACATGTCTGTCCCCGGAACGCACGCCATTAACAGATTTCCCAGCATTGCTGTTTTGATTTTCTTTCTTTTCCCTCCTCCCCCTACGAGCATTATAGTTTTTTTGTAACATAATTCTGCCTTTTTATTTGCGCTGTAGAAGTCGCACTGAAACTGCTGGAGGTCCAAAAAAATGTATCGGAGGCCCCTTTAGTACGTGATGACAGAAGGGAGTCGTTTTGACACTTTCACATGTGTGACTCCAACGTTCACACCAATGCAATCAAATGAGAACGTGTCAAACCCTGAGCACAGATTTCCCCTCTACTCTTCGACGCAGGTCTTATGCCTGCGCCATCGTGTAGAAAGGAAGCTCATGCTAAGCTAAGCTAACGAGCCGCTGGCCCCGCCGTGGTTCAGTCGACTAACGCGAGAGACATTGATGTCCTCCTTCAGATCCCAGCAAGAAAACAAGGTTTTACCACAAAAAAGTGCTTCACATGAAACCATTAAAAACATCCAAACATCAAGCAAGGAGATTCTAAAACTATTAAGAACATTGATTGAAAAGACAAACGTTAAGAAACTACAAAATAGAACAAAATTTGCAGCATATTACCGAAATGCAGAAACGGTCAATTAGCGGTGAACCGAAAAGTCTTTAATCTGGATTTAAAGGTGTTGAGGGACTCCGCAGAGTCGTGTGTGCTTCTCCATGTTTGGTTCTGAATCCGGGAACAGAACGTAGTCCCGTCCCAGACGACCTAAAGGGCTCATGGCGGTTCATAAGGTATCAGCTCATCAGAGACGTACTTTGGCCCTAAAGCATTCAGTGCTTTATAAACCAACAGCAGGATTTCAAAGGCGACTCTTTGTTTGACAGGCAGCCAGTGTAAAGACCTGAGAACCGGAGGGATGTGATCCACCTTCCTGGTCCTAGTGAGGACTCGAGTTCTGGATCAGGGCTTGTGGGAAGACACCTGAGAGGAGGGATGTGTTTACAATCTGTAGGAGATCAGAGCTCATGCAGTGTGTTGACTCTTCTAAGCAGCAGCAGCATGACCCAGAATATATTTTTAACCTTAATCAGCTGTGTTCAACAGTTGAGTGGAGGACATTTTGGAGACCCATTAGACTGCAGTGAGGTTCCCACGTGGTTACTGACACGGAGCGGCTTGCTTATTCAGCACAGTCATTGAGTCGGCGCGGGAGCTGAGTCTCCGTTTCCTGCTCGTTTCAGTGACAAGGAGCCGGGCGCCGAGGCCGACGGGAGATGACGGAAGCGATATTGACGTTATCAGGCCAGTGTGCAGTCGGCTGTGTCAAACGTGCACATGTCCTCTGTGACAGGATCCCTTTCACGCGGACGCGTCACTCGGCCGCGTCGCCTGCCTTTTCCTGCTTCGGGCTCGCCAAACACAGCCTAAAAATATGCACTTTCCTGTTGCAATTAGCGAATATATTTAGAGACGTTTGTTTTTTTTGTGTGTGATGTCAGCCTTTCACACATGAGTGCCACTTTTATCATCCGGGCCCTTGTTGCCGTGTCTCAGCAGTCAGTGGCATTGGAGGCTTCTAGCAGGCTGAATCCCTCGTTCACCATATGCAGCATTCTACTGTGCTCTATTTCCTCTGATGCGTGTGATTCAGGGATGTTGACGTCTCGAACGGAACGATTGTAGGTTCTGACTCACAGCTGCACCGAGAGCGCTGTGTCATTTTGTGCGTCCTGACTACGGGGGGGGCATGACCTCGTTAATTCATCGGCACAGCGACGATCCATAAGCTTAGAGACCGAAGGGGGCGCGACCTCAAACGTCACAGCCGGAGAGACTCGTCGTGACTCCCTGCACTGAAGGAACAGATATTCAGACAGAAATTAGATGCAGGCATAATGAGCTCATGGTTTATTTATTTAGACTTATTTTGTACTTGGAAATGTCTGTTTTGCATTTGGTACGTACTGTGCGGCACAAACATATTTAGAATTGAATCCCTCACAGGATTGGTTTACACGTTCAGTCTTTAAACAGATCCATACCTGCAGTGACATGTTTTTTTGGTTGCTGTCCTGTTATTTGCAGGAAAGAAATCCCTTGTCTTCAGAAACCCAAAGCGTCAGAAAATGAAGATAACATTTATATTTTCCTGGGCTGTTTTCTTGCTGATGCAGTGGAGACGTGGTCACAAAATTAAAAAGATTGATTTATTTGATTTTTCGAACACAGACTGCTAAAGCATAGTTGCAGAGTTTTCATCTAGGTCTGGTACTCTAGTAAAACTAGCAAGAGAACACAATATTAAAAAAATTATGAAACGGAAAGCAATTTCAGCCCTTTTATGGGAGAATTTCAATCAATATCAAAAACGTTATACAATATTATCAAAGCTAAATGCTAACGTCAGCATGATAAAATGCTTACAATAGCAAACCCTCCTGGACCCCCTGCAGTTCGCCTACAGAGCCAACAGGTCTGTGGACGATGCTGTCAACATGGCCCTCCAGCATCTGGACTCCCCAGGAACCGACGCCAGGATCCTGTTTGTGGACTTCAGCTCTGCCGTCAACACCATCATCCCGTCTCTGCTGCAGGACAAACTCTCCCAGCTGCTGCTGTGGAGATGGTTGTGGATTTCTGGCGGAACAGAGTCCCACCCTCCCCCATCACCCTGTGTGACTCCCCTGTCACCACTGTGGATTCCTTCCGTTTCCTGGGCTCCATCATCACCCAGGACCTCAAGTGGGAGCTGAACATCAGCTCCATCACCATGAAGGCTCAGCAGAGGTTGTTCTTCCTGAGGCAGCTGAAGAAATTCAACCTGCCAAAGACGATGATGGTCCACTTCTACACGGCCATCATCGAGTCCATCCTCTGCTCCTCCATCACCGTCTGGTACGCTGCAGCCACAGCCAAGGACAAGGGCAGGCTGCAGCGGGTCATCCGCTCTGCAGAGAGGGCGATCGGCTGCAATCTGCCGTCCCTGCAGGACTTGTTCGCTTCCAGGTCTCTGAAGCGAGCCAAAAAGATGGTAGCTGACCCCTCTCACCCCGGACAGAAACTGTTTGTGCCCCTTCCATCTGGCAGGAGGCTGAGGTCCATCAGGACTACGAC